TGTCAGGTTCAGGTGTGAACCCGAACTCCACGAGACAGTGCAAATACAGGTCTGTTGCGTTTATTTGCTTCCACCTCCAGACAGAAATCTCACAAGACTGAATCCTAGTTCCCAAGTCAGCCAGCCACAACACCACGAATTCCTTAGGGAGGTGCCAGCCTCATCTTCTTGAACTTCCCACGCTCCTGTTGGGGGCTAAGAACACGCTTATCTCCCTGAGCATGGCCTTCATAAGTCCATTCCATCACAACACCTAACAACCAGGCTGAGCTTCAACCACACCGTTGTGGCTGCCATTTTGTCTTTTTCTGACACCTTTCTGCAGGTGTGGGTGTGTGTACTGGAATAGAACTGCATCATATCTAGGAAAGAATAAGTTCTATACAGCATCCTTTACATTGGGCACTGATTCAGAAACTGATTTAGATATTTTTCCATCTCTTCCAGCACAGATGGGCTGATCTCATGCCAAAAGGAACTTTCTTTGGAGAAAGTCAACACAGAAGACAGCTCCCACAGGTTAGAGAGGAAGACACACCAAACTTCACAGAGGGTATACAGCAACGTATATTGCGGTTATATGTGGCATTAAGCTATAAAAGAGCTTACTTGGGTGTGATTTAGCACAACACATTGAACCCAAGCCCTGCACCCTGCCAATCAGAATTTCTCATGTGTGACCTTGGACAACGGTAGCTTATCTAACCAACCATAGTTCAAACACACCTTGGTTTGAGGCAGTAAACAAACCCAACCATTAGCTTCGCCACTCTTACCAAAGATAGATCCAATGGCTAGCCCAGCCGTCCGGGGATCAGAGAACGCGACCACCGCGCTGAAGATATCAGGTGCCCCATTTCCAAAAGCCAGAAAGGTGACACCATGGAGGAAAGGCTAAGGAAAGAAAATCCACCACTACTGATCTGTTTAGGAGTGGGCTTGATCCCATTATTCTGATGACCTGAAGACATAGTCAGAGAGATGGTTTGCTTCGGCACTGGAGGAAAAAGCAGCCTCTTTTTAAAGGTGTTTGTCTTCTGGGGTCTTTTCAAACATCTGATGATGACCATCAACATCATCAACATCATTGTCATCTTAATGTGATGCCCAGTTAATTAGAAGTGATATTTTTTTCATTGCCACCTCAACATTGTCAACTAAAGGCTGCAATGTTTTCATCCACACTTCTAGCTGTACCCAAATTCCCCACCCAACTCTTATGCTCTGTGGTCCACCTTCCCCATGTCATGGGTTGTCTTCCAGGGAGCTTCTCTTCCTCCCACACCTTGTCCCCCACTCCGAAAAGACCAGAGGAACAGGCCTAAGGAAGGATACTGCCACATTATGAGCCAGCTGCAACTTGGTGGAGATGGCCGATAAGTTAGGGCAGAAGCTAGAAGGTGGAAGAAACAGAAAGATTAAAAATGTCTGAGATGTTGCTTCCCCTCTTATTTCTGTTCCTCCCCACTTTGCCTCCTGAAAATAATTTCCCAGTTTAAAGACTATCAAGGCTTCACTCCACAGGCAGGAATGAACCTTGAAGATAAGTTCACAAGAAACCCAAGAACTTTAGAGCTTTCCATCTGCCCTTTGTTTTTGCAGCAGATTTGCTATCATGTTGTTTTTCACTGATGGTGTGAGAGCTAGGGTGAGGTAGGGATCAAGGTGCTGGACTGGTGCTGAAGAGACCCAGGTTCAAATCTCCCCTCAGCCATAGAGGCTCCCCAGGGGATTCTGGGCCAGTCCAACCCAACAGGCAGTTGGGTGAAGGTGCTGGGCTAGGAGTGGGGAGACCCAGGTTCTGGTCCCACCCCAACCACAGATGCTCCCTGGTTGACTTTGGGCCAGTCCCTTTCTCAGCCCAACCTATCTCAGTATGGCAGAAGAGGCCCCCATACTGAGGCCCTGAATGAAAAACAGGAAACAAATCTAAGATATAAACAGTCGAATGCTCACAAAGAACATGGTAGCAGCATTATGATGGCTTGTGTGTATGTCTGTGTGAGAAGTACTTTCACCGGCTGGATTAGGCCAGAAAGCCGTTGGGTAATTTTGTGCTTTGACATTTTGAAGGAACCCTTAATATATTCTATTAACCATGTTATCCCCTTAAACCATTGTATGAAATTAAGCCACCATATTTACTCACCTGGACATAGCATGCTCTGTGAACCTCAGAATAGTTAACCAAGGTTGAGTATGTTGTGTGAGCCCAGCCACTGCATATTTAAGGGGTGCAATGATGGGATCAACCCCAGTTGGCCCATCCAATTTGGTGGCAATTGATAGGTCTTGCTCACCCTGCTCAGGTTACAACCAGATGCAGCACTAGGACTGGGTTCCAACAACACCATAGCCCATCCAATGGTGTATACATGGGCCATCAGATCCCAGGCGTTTTGTGAAGGGGCCTCTGAGAACATGCATGGTGCCTATTCTCCAAACCCAACCCATGTTTTGACCATGGGGGCAGAAAACAGCTTCTGAGCCAGCAAGTCCTATCTGAATGAAGTTCATCTCGGATCTTTGGCTCTGAAAGTGATTTGGGAGTTGGGGTTTACTACTCACAATTTCTCAGCTGTGACTCCAAGGAGAACAAAGAGGTAGAGAAGCCAGAGAACCTACAAGAAACCAAAGACAAGGGCATTTGCTGTGAACCAGGAGGAGGAGAAACACCATCCAACCTTCCCAACCAGGTACCTCCCAGACGGGTTGGGACTACAACTCCCAAGATTCCAAGACAGCAGGGCCAAAGTCCATAGGCACAGCAGCTCCAGCCCTTTCAGGGGACACCAGGTTGAGAAAAGCTGATCTAGTTTGTCCCCACTATTTTTCTCCGACCAAGCAAAAAATCCAAAGAAATTGCCTTCTTGGAAAAACTCACTTAATGGAATATGTTGAAATTCAGCCCCAATCCATTTTAAGTATGTTGCTGAAATGTAGTTCTGAACACACTACTGGAGAACAAGCACCATTCTACCATAGAAAAGGGTACCTAGAAGCTAGAGTGAGCAATTATAATAAAGTTCTGGATCTGTTCCCTGCTGCACACAGGACTAATATCTCACTTGTCATTTTCTAACAGAAGCCGAGACCCCAGAAAGCTGCTGGAAAGATCTCCCGCAGACAGAAGCCCCTAATTAACACTACCCTTTGTTACTCCCTCCCTTCGTAAAGCTATTTGTTCCTCAAAGCCAGTCTCTCTCAAAGTGTGGTCTGAGACCACTGAGGGTCCCCCCAAGACTCTCTCAGGGGTCTGCAAAATCAACAGTATTTGCCAGATATTGAAGCTCTTTCTAAAAATTCAAAATGCTCTTCTCATTGTTACTTTTTATTTGTTAAAAAAAGTTAGGATTTTTCATGAAACATATGTTATTTATGTTAATATCTAATGGGTTTAATATTGTTGGGTTTACATGATTCAGCAAACCAATATTCTATGAATGTGTCAATTTTAATTTCTAATATGGTAAATATCAATCAATATAACCCATATCCATATGTTTTCTCTCTCTCTCTCTCTCTCTCTCTCTCTCTCTCTCTCCCCTTCCTTCCCTCCCCTCCCCTTCTTCTCTCTTTCTTATTTTCTGTGTTCTTTCCCCCCCCTTAATCTTCCTTTAATTTTGTATACTTTTACTGTATTGAAAAATTCATATATATACTGGCCAATCTGTTAATGGTATACTGGTACTGGCCAGTCAACCAGGTATCATAGTAGTAGACAAGGACCAGAAAACAGTGGTGGTGATAGATGTAGCAGTGCCAAGTGACAGCAACATCAGGAAGAAGGAGCAGGAGAAGCTGGAGAAGGACCAGGGCTGGAAGGAGGAACTAGAGAGGATGTGGAAAGTCAAGGCCGAAGAGGTCCCGGTGGTGGTAGGAGCCCTCGGGGCTGTGACTCCTAAGGTGGGAGGGTGGCTCTACCAGATCCCAGGAACAACCTCAGAGCTCTCTGTCCAGAGAGTGCAGTGTTGGGAACAGCCAAGATACTGCACAGAACCCTCAAACTCCCAGGCCTCTGGTAGAGGACCTGAGATTGAGGAAGACACAGACCACCCATAGGGTAAGAGGGGACTTTTTTATATATAAAAGATAAATATAACCCATACAAACAAAAGCTCCTTTGGGGTCTTCCACCATTTTTAAAAGTGGGAAGGGGTTCTGAGAGCAAAAAGATTAAGAAACACTGATCTTACTGGAGGCTTACCCTCCAAACACGACATTCCTCACTCCTGGAGAAAAAGCAATAAGGTTAATAATAATTCATGACAATCACCATCACCACCATCACCACACTTAACTTGGAACTCTGCAGGCTTTCGGGCCAATGGGCACCTTTGGAAACCTGAGTGCTTATGGGGGCACATTCCCAAAATGGGTAGGGCCACCTACAATACACCTTCTTCTCAGAAAGCGACTCCTCTTTAATCCTTGCAGATGGTCTCAGCACTCTCTGCAAGTGGGCACCCTTCCCTACTGCACCCTCCCACCGTTTTTATTTTCCCAGAATGCTCATAGGATTTCTGCCCCATGCTTGCATTCCGTAGCCAACCAGCTCTGTATTTTTTGGGTTCTTTCATTAAAAGAACTTTTTAAAAATCAGGAAGGAGGAAAGAAGCCATCAGGAGAAACATGCAAAGAGTCTCCTCTCTCCCCACCAGGATTCTTACATAAAGAGTCATGGCCAAAGGTTGCAGAGCAGCGGGGAAGACGCAGAAGACTCCGTTGAGGTAGTTGAGAAAGCCACTGTCCATCTTGCAGTCCGGGTTATGCCGGATGAAGGAACAACGGTTCGATCGATTCTGTTTCCCCACTTCTCTACACTAGAGCGGAGAGAGAAAACGAGAAGCACGCTTAAGAGATTCCACGGGAACGGTCTGATCACCATCATCTTTTACATTTTTTATTTTCCCAACTAGGTAACATCATCAGATGTTAATCAGATGTTACCTAGTCGGGTAACGAAACATTTGCAAGAAAACCACCAAGCTCAGAGAGCACCAAGGACTCCACAGTTCAACCCTAAGCTACAGATCTTCTCTTCCATTGGAGTAATATTTATATGATTAAAAGTTATTAACACCCTATTATTTTAAAAGCTTAAAGTATGGGACATAAAAAGAGGAAAGAAAAAATTCTATCAGTATTAATTGCCATTTCACATCAAAGTAGTTATGTGATAATAGTTTCAGTCTTGAACTCGTTACTTAATAGTAAGATCTCCATTGTATTGTTACTTTGTGTGTGTATGTGTGTGTGTGTATATATATATATATATTGTTACTTTGTGTGTGTGTGTGTGTGTGTGTATATATATATATATATATTTATAATAGAAGAAGCAAATTTAACAAAAGTTAAAATACTTAAAATACCTAAAAAATAGAAAGAAAAGAGATGGTAATCATAATAATAATAGTAAGAGAAAGAAAAAAAGACTAGTGATTTCTGACTCCCCACTTTTAATACATTTGCTAATTTGCAATCTTTCATATTTTTATAAGCCTTTCTATCCTGCCTTTTGGTAAAACAATGTTCTGTCCTTCAGTCTTCAAGGAAGCTAGGAAGAAAACTGAAGGCAACATACGTTGTATTTATTCATTGGTTTATAACTTCTATGGCTGCCCAATCACATACAAATAACAAAACTGGACAGAAGATCATTTTTCACTAGGTTGGGAGGTAAACTGGTAGTAGAGCTGGTTTAAAAGTGGTTAGATGTGGCCCAATAAGATATACCAATAAAAATGCTCTGAACTTGACAAAGACCACCAGGCAGATAATGGGGCGGTTTTCACAGATGATACAAGACCAGAAATGGATTGCTTTGTTTTAATTTAACATATTGTAAATCCAGGCATTGTGGCATGCAAATCATGGTTTAAAGCTTAGTCTAGCCTGTTTCTCATCTCTGATCATTTTATAAGTTGAGATAGGACTATTTGATTATTTCTACTAGATAATGTGGTCTCTTTTGATCAATGTAACCTTGTTTATATACAGAAGGAATGTAAGTTGCTCAAAAATGGTGGACAATCAGAAAGGCATGTAAGCCTAATGAAATATTATTGAAAAAAGGATGCTTAAAAATGTGTGAACCTGGTCATTGCCACAAGATGACAGCCCTTGGAAATCATGGGGGTACAATTTGTAGTTCTGCTGAAGCTGTTTATATAATCCCTTCCCTCAATCTCTTTCTCACTTTCAGCAGTCAAGGTCTTCTGCAGCCCAAGGGTCTTCTAGAAATAATTCATGCTATGGGAAAAGCAGCTGTGTGCTCAAGTAAGCTTAAATTTATTGGTCTTAAAGCTGAACTTGGTGGTTTGCTTGCAAATATTTCATTACCCAACTAGGTAACATCATCAGATGTTCGCCATGGTAAAGATGTTGGACTAACCCCAGGGAATCCAGGTTCCAGTACACCATCAGCTATGGAAGCTCACTGGATGACAGGGCCAAGAACTCACTCTCAGTCCAGTCTAACTCACAGGGGTATTGTGGGGACAACATTGGAGATGCAAGTGCTATGTAGCTGTTTTGAGTTTTTGGAGAGTTGGCAGGATAGAAATCCAAACCTAATGAATAAATCATATATATAAGGTAGAGGGGAGCCAACTTAGGGCCAATGAGATTTAAGAAAAAAGGTGGTCAGAAGCTCCATATATACTCAATGTTTACTCTAGACATACACCCCTTTCTTTTACCACATCCATTTCCTTGTTGTCCCACCCACAGAGGCCCTCAACACCTTCAAGAAATGCATGTCACAGTTGACTCAAAGAACCTTAATAAAGGATATCAAAAGTCACAATGAAGATGTGAGATTTGAACTCCCAGACAAGAATTTTTCAGACAAGTTTCCATAAAACCATTTGGCTAGGTCCTTGTGGGAGCCAGCAGCCTACAGATCTTGTCTGCTCAAGTTCTTGGCAAAGGGAAGGCAAGGTTAGGAGTCAAAAGCATTTAATCTTCTGCTGGTCCTTGTCTTTTCCAGACCCAGAAAGTTTCTCAATCCCTTTGCCTTGATGAGAAGATGAAGAGAATGGGTCAAGAATGACCATGTATAATGGTTAGCTGGTAAACCTAGCCAATATCTGACCTCTCCTGAATGTGGATCCTTACTCATCAATGATTCTCAGAAGCGTACAGAGGAAGCCAATAGAGAGACTGGGAGACTAGTTGCATCTACTCCCAGTCATCTCTTCTATTATGAAGTAGCTGTGATGGAATGGACTTATGAAGGCCATGGTCAGGGAGATAAGCGTGTTCTTAGCCCCCAGCAGGAGCGTGGGAAGTTCAAGAAGATGA